ATATACATTCACATTCACATTCACATTCACATATATATATATATATATATATATATACATTCACATATACACATATATATAGTTGTATATAGATCCCAACAATGTGTTACCCTAGTTAACACATACCTTAGCCAAGTCCATGGTGTCCTGCACGTGCTGATCCGCCAAGAGAACTGACTGATTTAGTTTGATCAGCGACTCTATCTACACAGCAATTTGAAGCAATGATCTATAAATAGAAATTCTGATCAAGGTGGCTATCACACACATTTTTGTACTTCCAATGCGCATCACATGCATCCTGATACATCGCCATGGCAACGCCAGTAGATATACATTGCAACTCATGCCACAGACCCATTCTCTCAAACACAAGCACCACATCCTCATTCAAATATGACACACACACTCAGCTAATACATACAACAGGTTCATACTGACACACTCGATGTCCCTATTATAAGCCCTAGTAGATACCCCACTACAATTCATAACACAAACACACTCTCACAAGCACTGTATTCTCATTACAATGGACAATACACGCTCAGCTAGTTCACAACACACATGTACAGAAACAAACTACATCCGGATTATAACGACCTCCTTCTAACACCTAGTGCACTCTTATTCTGACTCGTGACATATACTAGCAATAGACTATGATGAGCATATATACAACAATCATTTAAACCATAAGATCTAATCGCAACATATTATAAAACAGTATCATTCACATATAGACCACCTCAATGCAACCCTGAACACATATATAAGCTATAAAAAACACACCTGAGTGAACATCACGTGTGTGTTTTATAATTATCACACCTGAGTAAACACCACACGTGTGTGTTCTATAAATAACACACCTGAGTAAACACCACTCGTGTGTGTTCTATAAATAACACACCTGAGTAAACACCACTCGTGTGTGTTCTATAAATAACACACCTGAGTAAACACCACACGTGGGTGTTCTATAAAACACCCCCCTGAGTACACACCACGCTTGTGTGTTCTATAAATAACACACCTGAGTACACAACACGCGGGTGTGTTCTATAAATAACACACCTGAGTACACACCACGCGTGTGTGTTATATAAATAACACATCACGCGTGTGTGTTCTATAAATAACACACCTGAGTACACACCACGCGTGTGTGTTCTATAAATAACACACCTGAGTACACACCACGCGTGTGTGTTCTATATAATAACACACCTGAGTACACACCAGGCCAGCGTGCTCTATAAAACACTCACCCGAGTACACACCACGCGTGTGTGTTCTATAAATAACACACCTGAGTACACGCCACGCGTGTGTTCTATAAATAACACATCTGAGTACACACCACGCGTGTGTGTTCTATAAAACACCCTCCTGAGTACACACCACACGTGTGTGTTCTATAAATAACACACCTGAGCATTCAGCAACAGCGTGGTGTCGCGTGCACCAAAGTCCTGAGGCGATTCGTCGAAGGACACTGTACCGTTAGCCTGGTTGATCTTGGCGTGGATTCGGCCCTTCTCAATCTGTGCACACCCAAGCAGCGGTAAGTGAACGGATGTGAACCAACAATCCGAATGAAGAAGGAACAAAAGAACCCCAAAGCAAGCATATATTCGTATGGGGTGGTAGATTTTGGCGTGGATTTGGCCCTTCTCAATCTATGCACACCCAAGCAGCGGTAAGTCAACGGATGTGAACCAATAATCCGAATGAAGAAGTGAACAAAACAACCCCAAAACAAGCATATATTCGTATAGGGTGGTTGATTTTGGCCAGAGGTTCGCCTGTCCCATTTTGTGCAGACCCGATTTATAGTAGTGAGCATCATACAGTTGTGTATAGTCAATGGAAGGTGCACATGCGATGCGTGTTCTAAATATCACACACGTACCATTTTCAGCACAAGCAATTCGGCTTCTTCCGGACCACCCAGGCCGACTGTATCTGTAGGTTAGCAGCACAAACACGTTTAGTTAAAACTAAAGGGGTGTACTCAAATACAAAAATAAAAAACATCTATTAAAAAACCCCGGATGTTGCGTTGGCGCCTTCTCATAAAGCCGATCATACATTGACATTCGAGTTCTTTGTTTAAGAAATAAATATGCGGTGGAATCCGTGCATTGGGTATAAATTTGGTGTTGAATCAGTGAATCGGGATTAAATTCGGGGTTGGATCGATGAATCGGGTTCGTTTAGATTATACAATGTTGTATTGTACAACCTCAATAGCTATAGAATAGACATCATGTTTCAACCAAGTTTGAAACAAAAGCACACAAAAGAACCCGGATATTGAATTGCCAGGCTTTGTGAATTACAGTCGATCATAACATTGCCGAGCGTCGCGTGCATTCGGACAAAGGTGCACGCTGTTCTGAGGTGCTGCTAATAACAAAATGAAATACGACAGTACGGAATATATAAAAATTGAATTATGAGCATGAACTGACGCACGTT